TTGAAGCCTTCTACCAGCCATGGTGCAATTGTTCTAATTGATACAGATTAATCAGAAACCAGTGATTTCATATATTATGGCCTGTCTCAGTGAAACAGTGTCTCCTCCACTACTCGGCAGAAAAAGCACTGGAGAACATCACAATTGCACAATGAATGTCAGGCTGTTACCTGATAAAGTTTTGTGCAGTGAAATCTTCAGTAAAAGATCATTATCAAACTTACTGGACAGATCCTCATGGCTATGAATAGTCTCAGTGTCAATGTCTTCTAACACTGTTCTGCTATTTCCATGAACAGAATCTCTTCTCTGAACTAAATTATATTTTCAGCGGTCAAAGTAATAGACAACCTTAACATGGCCCTAACTAACAAGTTGAACCTTTGAATAAGTTGGTTTACTTAGCACTGGTAAATTATCATGGTTAAAAAATTTGAACTGAGGATTTTACTGTTTTAAGTGGTCTATTTTAATTAGACCATTTCAAAACCAGCTGGTACAGCATAGGCACGGCCTAAACAAGGTCTCTGCAGACATACATAGGTCAAAACACAGGGCTCCACCTCCTGAGCGGAGTCAGCTTGGCTTTCAGGTTGTGTACAGCTCAGCGACTTTAGGCAGCTTCTGATGCTTAAAGGAACTCTGCGGGCAGATTCACCATCTGTGCAGGGTGTGCGTGTGTGTGTGTGTGTGTGTGTACGCGCGTCAGTCAGAGTCCTCACCCCGCCAAACGCAGGTCTTTCTTTGGTTGCTCCAGTGGATGAAGCTGATGGTGCCGAGTCATGCGTCAGGAGGATGGAGGAGGTGAAAGTGCAACAGCCATCAGCTGGGACGGCTGCCAGGGAGGGATGTTCCTCCCCAGTCCTCCTCTGAGCACCGAGCAAGGGCCAGAGCTGTGAACTCCCTCACTGCTCCCCAGCCTTGCAGTTAGTCCCCTCTGGGAAGCCCTGCAGCTGACCAGGGGGTGACCAGAGGTGGTTGGTACCTGTGGTGTTTGAGCCACAAGAGAGATGGTGTGCTCTGCTGCAGGTCCCACCTGTAGGCGTGCTGACCAAGCAGGGGGAGGGGAGGGAACCTTCTGGGAAACCTCATTCATTAGCTGTGAGATTGGGCAAGTCTGTAAATGTTACCATACAGCTTTATTCAAGATAAACAAGACATTGGCAGTATGGCTCCGTACTTAGACAATGAAAGAAAGCAAGCGATCGTGCCCTTATTTATTCAAGTTAATCCTTCAATGAGATGAATAGGATGCTGGAGACCAAAGGTCAACCACACTGTAGGAAATGAAAAACAGAATTGATTTAAGTTTCCTGGGGCAGCCAAGTTAACAGTATAGCAGACTGATTGTTTACGTTGGACAAGTTGGGAAAAACCAAAATAAAAGAGTTTATTTTAACAAAAGGATGGTATGCTTTCTGGAAATGGGAAATCCAGAAAAAAATCTGCCGTCAAAGAGATAGGACCTGTGTCTTCTTCCTATTTTACATCCGACTGGTCACAAATCAGACAATTTGCATGAAACATGGCACGAAGCTGAATGTAATTTGCTATATCAATTTCAGAGGAGTCTAGCACTGGAATCACAGAATCACAGAATCACAGAATAGTAGGGGTTGGAAGGGACCTCTGTGGGTCATCTAGTCCAACCCTCCTACAGGGTCACCTACAGCAGGCTGCACAGGACCTTGTCCAGGCGGGTCTTGAATATCTCCAGAGAAGGAGACTCCACAACCTCCCTGGGCAGCCTGTTCCAGGGCTCCGTCACCCTCAGAGGGAAGAAGATCTTCCTCATGTTCAGACGGAACTTCCTGTGCCTCAGTTTGTGCCCATTGCCCCTTGTCCTGTCACTGGGCACCACTGAAAAGAGCTTGGCCCCATCCTCCTGACACCCACCCTTCAGATATTTATAAGCATTTATTAGGTCCCCTCGCAGCCTTCTCTTCTTCAGGCTGAACAAGCCCAGCTCCCTCAGCCTCTCCTCGTAGGGGAGATGTTCCAGTCCCCTCATCATCATCGTAGCCCTCGCCTGGACACTCTCCAGTAGCTCTTCATCTTTCTTGAACTGGGGAGCCCAGAACTGGACACAGTACTCCAGATCAGGCCTCACCAGGGCAGTGTAGAGGGGAAGGAGAACCTCCCTCGTCCTGCTGGCCACACTCTTCTTGATGCACCCCAGGATCCCATTGGCTTTCTTGGCAGCCAGGGCACACTGCTGGCTCATGGTTAACCTGTCGTCCACCAGGACACCCAGGTCCCTCTCCGCAGAGCTGCTCTCCAGCAGGTCCACCCCAAGCCTGTACTGGTGCATGAGGTTGTTCCTCCCCAGGTGCAGGACCCTGCACTTGCCCTTGTTGAACCTCATCAGGTTCCTCTCTGCCCAGTTTTCCAGCCTATCCAGGTCACGCTGAATGGCAGCACAGCCTTCTGGTGTATCTACCACATCTCCCAGTTTGGTGTCATCAGCAAACTTGCTGAGGGTACATTCTAACTCTTCATCCAGGTCGTTGATGAAGAAGTTAAACAAGACTGGGCCCAGTACTGACCCCTGGGGGACACCACTAGTTACCGGCCTCCAACTAGACTCAGAGCCGCTGATGACAACCCTCTGAGTTCTGCCATTCAGCCAGTTCTCAATCCACTTCACCGACCATTCATCCAGCCCACACTTCCTCAGCTTCCCTACGAGGATATCATGGGAGACTGTGTCGAAAGCCTTGCTGAACTCCAGGTAGACAACATCCATGGCTCTCCCTTCGTCTACCCAGCCAGTCATGTCGTCGTAGAAAGCTATTAGATTGGTCAGGCATGATTTCCCCTTGGTGAATCCATGCTGACTACATGAATGAAATCTTTTAAGATAGAAAATATGTGCATAATACTGTAGGACTGAAAGAACCACAAGTTAGAAAAGAATAGTTTTACTACAACACCAACATTTACAACTTGCTGTTTAATCCCAAAGTAGATAAAAAATCTTTGTCATTGATGTCTGAAACCTGTATATACCAACACATCTGTATACGAAACATTAATCTCAGGAGGACTTCTGCCAGAATTTTTGATCTGCTAACTTTGGTGTGGAAGGGAGAGGGCTGGATGTGGTCAGGCTGCAGCAAATGTCTAAGGGCACACAAGGCCCAGAAAACAAATGGCCCTGGCAAGACCTAGAGTATGATCCCGGGTCTGAGCAGCGGGGACTGAGAAAGTTGCAGGCAGCTGCTGTGGCTGCTGTTCCCACTGGGTTTTAGCACAGCTCGCACAGTAGACTGGAGGCACTGACTTAGCAGGATTCTAGACGCATGCTCAGGGCGATGTGGTTGAGCTTTGCTGTGCTGGGGCCTACCCAGCAAAAGATCCTGCGTGAAACAAGTGCAGCCAGATACTGCCAAGGTACGGATTTGGCTTGAGCATGCTTGTTACATTAACCTTGTAGCTGTGCCAGCTGAAAAAAATGCATTGGATACTTATGGACAATAAAGTATCTGAGTTACTAAAGCTATTACAGTGAAAACATAGCAACCTCTGCCTTTTCCGTATTTGCTTAAGCTTTATTGTTAGCTTGATTTGTAAATCTGATGTAAATAAATTATGCTAATCTAATTATGCTGTAGGATGCCACTCACCGTGGATGGGCTGCAGGTATTTTTAAATGGCTCAGTACAACACAGGCAGATGTATGACACAGCCATGAGTGTGTATTCCCCACTAGCTGCAAACGCCGTGAATAGGAGCTTTCCATCACTTTCATTTCATATGAATGCTAACATAATTCACCTGCAAGAGTTTTTTCTTTATAGGATGCCTTGCCTGTTATGTGAAATCTTGCAAGAAAAGGAGAAGCACAGCATCTGGACTACAGCATCAAATAGAGCATAACCAGCCTGGAAGCCCAGGGAAACACGGGTTTTGTTCTGCCTGAGCCAGATTCCCTCGGTGGCTTCAGACTGAACTATCCGTGTCTCCGTTTTTCTGCCTTTCAGATAAGTATTATCTCCGTATACCTCAGTGATATGCTGTGTAGCTAAAGTTCCCCACACTTTCCAATGCTGTTGGAGCTTTGCCTGGTGGTGCTGTGTAATCCAGAAGAAAGCAGAAGACTGTCATTTTATACAGCAGCTTCCAGGTAGGCCAGTTTCCAGAAACAATAGAATTTCTTAATGAGTAGAGAAAAATAGAAAAGGGTGATAAAATAACTACAAGAAACATGCAGATTAACAATAACGCGGTTGATTTCTTATGAGAAGGAGGAGGGTCGTGCCTTTCGGGGGGCACGGCTGGAGGCTCCGTCCTGCCGGCAGACCTCACCTGCCCATCTCTGACGGAGGCTGGGGCCTGGGCGTGAACACCCTGTGCTATCAGAAGTAAAACAACTTGAACTGCAAGGTTTTTAGCATATCATTACAAATTCAAACCCGGGCCTATTCTGATGGAAAATCTTCCTTAGGAATATGAATTGTTTTGGGCAAAATAACCAGGCTTGTTTCCTGGCAGGGATACTATTTGCATCAAAAATTAATGTCTTCCACCCACTCAGTTTCCAACTGAAAACCAGGCGTTTCATTAGCAAAGTGAGAACAGCGATGCCTGGCTGGAGCAACCAGGGCAATCAAATCTGCTGAGTATGCCTGGAAAAATGGGAGAGCTGCGAGTTCCCGCTGGCATGAGGGTCCTGACAACCGTGCAGGGTCAGGGGAGGAACGCAGAGGAACGAGGACGTCACCTTCCTGCTCGGGAGAAGGACACAGGTGGAAGAGCGAAAAGCCCAGCCCTGATGGGGGGTTAAGCTCCTCTTCCGCAGCACAGAGGCTTCAAAAGCTCTGTGCAGAGCCCTCGTGCGTGGCTGCGCACGTGCGTGTGCGAGAGCCGTGCGCGTTGGCAGCACGGGTGGAGAGCTGTGGTGGGACGAGCTGCGCGGGTGGAGCGCTGCGGGCAGGCGGGCAAGCGCCACGCGTGGGTACGCGCTGCGGGAAGAGGTCTGCGGAAGCCAGGCGCCGCGAATGGCGTCGTGTGCTCCCACAGCTGCCAGCACACGTGCAAGAGGTGTGTGTGGGGCTACACGTGGGGAGCTGCGCACTGCGGGCGCGTGGAAAGGCGTGCGTGAGGTGGGCGTGGAAGAGGCCTCTGTGGGAAGGGCTGTGTCTGAGGGGGAGTGTGTCCGAACAGCAGGTGCGTGCGTGGAGAGGCAGGGGTGTGAG